CAACATTTTAGTAAGAATGTGGATATTATTTTATGAATTTCGGTTCAATATATTGCGTACAATATATTCCGTAGTTCTTGTTAAGAGCGAATTGAGATTCAGTTCGCATGCGTTGTTAATTACTGGTACGTACGCACGCCTAGTTCATGCGCATTGTGCCAGTGGTTTCAATAATATTTGGTACGCGACCAAAATATTTTCAATTCATAAAACGAATTTGTAAAATCAGTAAGACGTGCAATATTGAACGGGAAATAATATATAGTCTAGTTATTTATTAAAAAGAAAAAAAAAATTCGAATAATTAATTCCGGGACGTCACTATGAAAGAACACTTATTAACGGCGTTATGCGGCGTCTCTCGTTAAAGTCTGCTTTTTTTTATTATGGTACATTCACTACTCATTGAATGAATTATGTTGCAACCCCTCTCCAGGAGTAGCCACATTAAAGGGCGGTAATCGTCGCGCCACGCATGCGAGATATACATGTATATGGGTCTCATATAAACAAAGATTGGAAGGTATCGAAGACGTCACCGGCGATCATTAGTGCAAGTCGCGCCTAGGTCAAACCTCATACTCATAGAGCGAATTGGATTGTGGGAAAATCAGTGTTTATCAACACAAATGTCGCACATGCGCTGCGCGACGACCATCGTCCTTTAATATCATTAGGCAGTCGTCGACATACATCGTCCGAATCGCACGGTTTTGCTAAAGCCGGCCATTCATAACCGGCCCACGAACTTGAACCCGTGCGCGATCGTGTTAGGAAAAGCTGTATTTCACAGCAGTTAAATTGAGTCATCCGCTTGCTGTATCATAAATGTGAACGTCTGGGGTCATCACAGATTAAAACAATGGCGGTGTGTAGGCTTTGCACTGATTCACTAAGAGTCTAGAACGGACTTCTTGCAACAAACACATCATTTCCCTTAGACACAATACTAAGCGCTTTCTTTTGATGGGCAGTAAATTCGTTCACAGATCAAAAAGCTAGAAACACGTTGATTTATAAATTCATCCGAGATAGCGCCACGAATTTTACAAAGTAATATGCCGTTTCTATCGTGAGTTCTGATTGGGTAATGCAAATGAGCCCAAGCGAATCTTATAATCGCTTGACGGCGTGCGACATACAGTTAATCATGGTGAAATCTGCCGAGGATTAATGTTGAGGCTTCGGCCGAATAAATGGTCCCTGGCTGGTGAAGATGGTCGACATATTTCAAAACTAAATCGGTTCTATATATTATATAAACATATTCAGCTCTTATATTATACGCACCGACAGGATAGTCTTTCATCACAAATTAATCACCTCTAATGACGTCACGGTGATTATTTGAATAAAAGCCGCAAAGTGACATCTTTTACTCGCACTGTAGTTGTACCCGCATACTATATATTCCAAGCTCCTAATTTTAGGTCTTAGATCGCGTATACGCATGCGCAGTAAGGGCTAGCATGTCATTGACACAGTCGAGAGCCTAGGAAGTGTGTTTAAATACGGATGATGCGTTGCATTTGGCAGATTACGCTGTTAAACAAGCTGGCGAAACCGTTTTGCTGGGTAATGTAAAATAATTTAAAGCGCGGTGGTCGTCGGTCAGCGCGCGTTCGAATTTCATGCGAACAAACAATGCATTTTACACGCGTTGTATACGTCGCTATGAGTCCCATATCGAACAGGACGCGGCGCGACGACCACCATACTTTAACTTATCACTACTATATATATATTCTCGTAATTAGGTCAGAAAATAATACTTACACAATATCTTACACACCAAAACGTTGTACCACAGACCACAGTTCCTCAGGTGTGGGGGACTGTGCACAGACAACGACTTCCTCTGTCAAGTTGTAATATACGACATGAAAACTGCATGGGAATACGTCACAATTAATTGTTCGAGTTGAATAATGCTTCGTAACACTAGTCGGGGAATGCTGCTTGACATGTCATCGTGTGTGATAAATTTCTCTGTACAATCTTTTCCAACTGCCACGATTGATATTTTGGAGCTATTTTTGTTAAATTATTAATGTTTCCCTGAAAATATTAAAAATGAAAATAACAACATCATTGTTTGTAATACCATGCAAAACCCGGCGGATTGTATTAAATTACAATCTGTGGATTAATCGTGAATTAAAGTTCAATCGGTCGGGTTTACCGGAAACAACACAAAGCTAGTTCCGTTACAGTTGCCAGCTCACACGTCTCGGATGCTCGCAACGGGAGTCATAGCAAACAACAGGACGAACGACTCTGGCACAGATGTACCCGCTTATTTTCAACGATGTAGCATATCTTTTCTAGCTGAAAATATAGTACATGTACATTCATTTTTGTTATTTGTTATTCTTAATTATCGAACGACTTCACATGCAAACATAGCTGTGTACTTAAACTAGATTGCTTCCGTAAGTTTACGTCATTTTGGCATACTTAGTAACATACGCGTTTTTTTTACTAGAAGGTGCGACTAATTAAAAAGGTATTTTTCTTCACGACAAAGCCATTTAAAGCGGGGGAGTCGTCACCTGCGCATGCGCCAGGTGGCCGTGGTGTGTCATTGTTTACAACGAAGCGTCTACTCATGAGCCTTTGCGTTTTTAGCGTGTGTTGTTATCATTGCTTGGGAATCAATCCCCGCGACGACGCTCCCGCTTTAAGAAAGATATATTTGATTTAAATGTCTACGCATAATGTTCAACATTAACTGCCAACAATAACTGCACTGCACATCGCCGCTTATTGCTAAGTTGAATCACGTGACATTACTGGAATGTTACTTTTGCACGCCACGCAATTGACGAGACCTCACACATGCAATAAATTTGACGCAGTTTCCCAACGCGATCGTTTGGTTCCCAAATCAGGCTGTCACATGGTCTCCTGGGCGATTCGGGATTTTAATCTAACGATTATTTATGTCTGAACTGGAATGAAAGTAGCCTTGCGGGTATGAGCGTGTTTACAAGTTGTTAGATCAAAATGTTTTAGGTATCCATGCAGTTTGTATGCTGTGTCACGGTTCCGTACGGCTTTTCATAATATCGCATTTTTGTTAAGTTACACATTTTCGTTATCCGTCGACTTTTTAATCATCCTCACCACAGAATTACCCCCCAACTGAGCCCTCAAATACTCACAAGCTGATAGATAATCCACGGTTACTATAAAGTAACCGTGGATAATCTGAGACATTCAGTTGTTGTAAAACCACTGACAGTGCAAAGCAGTATCGTACTAGTGTATGTATGTATAAATGGAGATCTATCTGATTGGCATCTTAAAATCTACCTACTACTATCTGTTGAAATAATTGCTATGTTCACACGGCAGCATTCTACCGGAGGCGAGCTACTGCTCCTCCCACCGATTAACAGGAGATTATGCGTTCACACGGTCGGGCCGAACAACGGAACAGTGCCCTCGAATAATTAGTGTGAAAAAAAAAAAAAAAAAACATGGCTGAAAACGATATTGGTGTCGAGCTTGTGTTGTTCTTTACATGGCACGATTAGATTTTTTTTAGCTCCATGATTTAGGTAATACTGTACATGTAGTATCTCGAATAAATAAGAAACACGGCAGCTAAAATGTGTTACAGCCTATTCGCTAAAAGTTATTGTCATTGTACAACTGCTGTGATATGTGTTACAGTTGTCAATCTAAACCTACTAGGAACATGTTACCTTACCGCGACCGCTTCTACGATTTATTCAGTTACGATCTGTTCAGTTCTTCTTTCACGTTTTTGTCGCATAATTTCGTACGCCATTTTTCTGTTTTCCGTTGACCTGTCAATCTATCGCAGTATTTCCTTACTCTGCAAAACAGATATTACGGCGCGTACCTCTTCGTCAAATCGGAAATTGCGTGAAGTTACGAACGATATTGTCTCCACCATAATTGAAATGAGAGGTTACTTCAAGTTGAAGAAGACGATTGAGGGCGTGATTTGGGCTCCGATAGTGAGGTCCTGTGCATACACGGTCGGGCCATGTCGGGACTCAACCCTATCGGAGTTCAACCCCGAGGGTTTATTGAAGCCGAACTTGGCTCGAGCCGGCTCGAGCCGAACGCGTATACACGGCCATTTCTGCTGGCTCGAGCCGTAGGGTTCCGATAAAACGCTGTCTCGTAATTGCGCTATAACAAATGTGTGGGCAATTCAGCTCACGTTATGTCAACTACAAGGCCAAGTATCAACATAACTGAGAGTATAACACGTGTATAGTTGTTTTTCACTTAAGTGCCCGTATTTAGCTATTCACCGCTATTCCGCATTACTGACTAACTTGAGAATAGTAATTTATAATTATCTACTTATTTAAAATGAGTTCTGTTTTCATAATCAACATACTATGAGGTTATTAAAGGATACTGTAATTTGTCTTTCTTAGTATAGTTTATAGTTTAATGTCATGCGCTGTTGATCAGTTATTGCTGTAAATAGCGCAATATAAGTAAATAAATTATTTTTATTATTATTAGTAGTAGTATTTGTATTAGTATTAATACTGCAAAGTATGCACGAAGACAGTACAGAGGGAGTATCGTCGACCGACGCGCAGCGGACTCAGTCGATGCGACGGCGTACTATCTGAGCGCATACTCTGAGGTATCCTCGTAATAACCTTATTATTAAACATTTTTTCTTTCCAAAGATACAACATGGGAATGCCGAAATCCAAAAAGTTTAGAACAGACTCAACAAACTTCTTTGTGTCAGGAGTCCGGTCAAACTCTTGTGGCAGCCATGTTTGTTTTAAATCTTAGAGGACGCCGCTAGTACGTGGGTAATCATTCCATATTTGGAATTCGCATTTCCTTATATAGTAGGATGAAAATGCCCCGTAAAATACACGCTGTAACTTATGGCGTTACGGTGACAGTTGTATAATAATTCCCATTATGTTCGTTAAACTTCTTGCAGGATTCGAAACACTTGACTACATGACCCTGTCGACCAATACTCAAAGATGACAACGATAAGGAAGGTAAGTATGTTACGGAGTTAAAAGTTGCAATATGGAAGTAAAAAAACATTTTTTTAATATTCTTGTTTGATACTCCATACTGTAGAACAAATATAATTATTTGTCATGAACTAAACATGTTGCGATTTCAGGACCCACAACAGTATCAACAACACCAATACGCATGTTCGTTGATTGTTATATTTCATTGTTTTATCAAACAAAAACAGTGTACAGCATCTTTTCACGTTTTAATAATTCATACTCTAACGTGTCCTTAAAAACACAATATCAAACAACAATATTAAAAGTTACATATTCAATACAATACAATGTAATGTGAGGAATTCGAATAATCTCAAATTTCATAGATTACTTACCCGCACTCGCGTTACTAATCAGATAGAATGCAACTTTTAAACCCACTCATTTTAGATGGACATACGTGTTTGTCAGGTGTTTATGTGTATCGACATGCATGTTATCAAATATTCCTCATAAAACGGTTTAATTTTATTTTCTCTAAATATTTGGAGGTCAAATGTCACTAAAAAATACCTTGCGATAGACGAGAGCAAATTTGAAACGTCTGTACTAAAAAGAAATTGACATATCTCAGAAGCAAATGGTCGCCGAGATCGCGTTGAGAGCGAGAACGCCACGAGACTTGTTGTTGTCCCTCAGATATTTTTTATTTATTTCTGTCATCATGTAAACTGTTGACCCGATCTTTGTAACCATGGTATTTGGAACAGTATACGTGATGACGAGAGAGAATGAACACTATTTGAAGGCCAACAAGAAGTCTCGTGGTATTATCGCTCTCGGTGAGATCTTGGCGGCCATTTATTTTTTTCCAATATAAAACATGCAACGAGAACGAAAAATAATTATAACCTACTCGTTCAGTTAACAAGCTAGGTATCGATGTCACCAATAAATGTATACAATATTGTTTTTTTAACATTTCATTAGCAGCTCATTGAAGCCTAACTGTGCTGTATAGACCTATTATAACTAATTCCCCGGCCCCACAGACTTACTGTAAAACAAACTTGGTTTGGACACCTTGTGGTTAACATACACAAAAAACGTGGGATAATACACATACATTGTAGTACTGTAAAATACTTTATTTTAGCTGGAATTAATTTTCCCCGAATAGACATTTCGGGTGCTTTGTATGGAATTTATTTTCGCTGGTTTTTGACGAGTTGAATGTAAAATATAAGAAAAAAAGGGATATTCGCTGGATTTTATTTTCACTGAATTATTCTTTCATCGAAAATAGCGAAAATTAATTCCAAGCGAAAATAAGGTATTCTACTATTCGGTAGCCTGCAACTGCAATCATAATGTCCTTTCTATTAGAGGGCCAATCAATCGACCTGTAGACGCAGAGTACATGTGGACCTTTTCTAACACTCGCACTGATTGGTCATTTGCTTTCATGACATTTACTCATGAATATTCAAAAGATAGCTCATGAATGCAGGCAGAGTCGTTGTATTTCTGGAAAAAAATGCCATGGCCTGGCGTGAATGAGAAAGTTATTCATGCGGCAAAGTAATTTTCATCTTATCTGTCTTTTCGCAGATATTTTGTTTATGTGTGGCGTGCTGTATTTTAACAGTTGTATATTATTATGAAAGCTTCAGTGATATTTATAAAACTAGGTAAGTCCCTGTTCAATATGTGTCAGAAAAGTTCGTCATATGACGTTTAATCTTGCAAAACTGGAATATTATTCTTCTGCGGGACATTCACTTCAGCCGATAAAGTACAGTAATGCGCGTATGATTGACGTCTGTGGTAATTGTTATTTTGCAACTGTGGTGAGTGGGCGACCATAACTTGATTGGATGATGAATATACCACGCTACTAATCTGAATACTAGTATGCTAATTTTTCAAATGAATGGATGACTGTTGTTTGTTTTGCCAACGTGCCGCAGCGACTATCATTTAATTTATTCATTATGACGTTGCCATGAATTTACATAAAAAATGTTACCAGCCTTTTAGACGTTTAATGGAGTGAAAACAATAATTTGGTACTCGTATTAATTGTATCATCTCTGTATCACAGTATATCCAGTGGCATTGAACTTGGGAGCAAGCATTTCTACGACTTTCTACCAAGAATGCTACTGTTGTCCACCGACAGGAAAGAGGATACGTTGCCAGATTGTGTACCTTTGAATAATGTGTGCTTCGTGAAGACAAGAAAAACCGGAAGCACGACATTATCGTCGATCCTAAACCGCTATGGTTTGATACGAAACCTGTCCTTCGGATTTTTGAAAACAAATGCCAAAAGTGGACATTTCAATGTAATACCGATCACCAATGAAAGTCCAAAGAAACTTTTCCTCCCCCCTTTGAACGTAAAACCAGGCGACTGGCCCAAGTACAAATACAACATGATGACTGTGCATGTGAGATACAACAAATCTGCTTTTGAAAGTTTCATGTTGCCGGGAACCAAATACATTACTATTCTAAGAGAACCGACTGCACAATACGAATCGGCATTTGCGTATTACAAACTAGCTTCTGTTGTGAATAAGATAAACAAGTCAATACCATTCAACGAAACAATCTACGAGTTCATGAGGCACAAAGACCTGTACTGGGCAAACACCAAACGGGCTATAAGGTCTTACACAAGAAACGCGCAGATTTTCGATTTGGGCCTCGACCATGTTTACCACACAAACATGACAGTTGTGTTGCCCTTCATTCAACATATCGAAGAGAGCTTCGATTTAGTTTTGATTACAGAATATTTCGACGAATCAATTGTGCTCTTAAAACAAATTTTGTGTTGGGATTGGAAAGATGTGGTGTATTTTATTAAAAACGCACGCCCTTCAGACACCGTCAACAGCAATCTTACACTTGAACTCAGAAATAAAATTATTGACTGGAATTACGCTGATTATTTGTTGTACCAACACCTGAATCAGACTTTCTGGAAAAAGGTACGCGATTACGGACCGCAATTTCAGCAAGATCTAAAGACTGTACGTACATACAGAGAATCCATGCAGGATAACTGCGTTGGTAATATTTCGAGTAAAAAATACAACGGCTTCGTGCAAATCGGATATATTCCAAGAGAAAACGTCTCATCCTTGTGCCAGCTTCTATCAGCGTACAATACGGAGTTAATTGAAAAAATAACACTGAAACAATCATCTGGATTTTACATTGGTGATATTAACAGTAAGTATGTTGCAATCGTAATGTCAAATATATGTTAATTGAATTTACAGTAAAAAATAGTAGGGTGCTCCGTATAGGCATCCGTATAGGTATATAGGTATTAAAACGAAGCTTTAATACCTATATGTGAATTGAACATGGGGGTCACGTGCCAACTTGGAAAAAGCCATGTCCTGTTTACAGGTATTAAACAATCGTTAAGTAAATCAGTCAACTAGTCAGAGAATGTGAATTGTGGAATAAGGTTTTTGCTTGCTTGTCATACATTGTTTGCTAAGGGGTAACGTGTTTGAAAATGGGGAGAGGGTGATCTTTGGCAAAAAGGGTGTGGAGGGAAATCAAGGAAAAAAAATCTCCAAGCTCAATGCAAAAATGTTCTCTCAACCCTTCAAAAGATGCTTAAACATGCTCTCAAGAAAGAAAAAAAACTGCCATAGCAGAGTAAAACAAACACGCAATTAACCAAATTCCTACAGCTTTGGTAAAATCTGCCTATTTTTATGCATGTTTTATAATTTGTTCAATAATTTTGCAACAATTGGACATATTGTGGTAGAAATATTTGAAAACAAATTGTGGGCTTTATTTTCTGAAAAATTACAAAAGTTCACTTTGGCGCTCAAAAGATCGGAATCTTTTGAAGAATGACCCAGGACGATTTCCGTGGTGTAGCTGCGGTGAGGTCATGTCCGAATGTTAATAATAACCCAGCAGTACGTCTATGAATAATTTCCACTTCTAGATCACACCACAGAGGTATGTGGATTCGAATATAGAGTATACTGCGGTTACAGCATCACGGGCAGCAGTTTTTATAAGTGGCACTTCAACACACCCAAGGATATGAATGACGTAACAACGAAGTCGAATGAAGGTAATTCTACAAATATTGAAGTAGCAATATCAAATGAATATAATAGTCGGAATTACTATCTTTATTTTAATTCGGAACATTCACACATTTGCAAACACATATCACATGTATTATTATTGAAAAAATACATGGAATGTTACAAAATAGAAAAACAACAACATAATGTTAACACATAAAAACATAGGACATGGGGTCATCTTTCACCCTGAACATAGGCACACGAGGTCCGCCAATGGCTGAAAGATACCAGTACAGGCAGCGACACTCCCTTCAATGACTGAAAGGTGCCAGTGGCAAGTAGTTACCCATCTCCAATGGGTGAAACGTGCCAGTCCATCTCCTAGCCCTAAACAATTGTTGTGCCCCACATATGCTATGTGTACGTGATAATCTATATTATTGAGGGACACATGGACCATTGCAAGTGGTGGTATTATGATATGAGAATTACGATTCCACAAAAACAAACGAATGTACATACATTTCAACATGCAACAAGTGATCGTAAGTATGTTGAGAACACAAATAAATACAACAACAAAACAGAAAAAAATCATATTGTTAAATTTCCGGTAAATTTCTGCCCATGTGTCAGACGGATTGTTAACCTCCTGTGTTCATGTTATTTGGCTGATGTGCGCATGATCACGCATAATGATGCCACGGAAATTTGCTGTATTTCCTGCAGGTATTAACTGCACTACAGGCATTCAGCAGCCATTTGCTTCGACAATAGTTTCCATATTATTATATCAGAAGAAAATGTTCTAGTGTTAAAACTTTATATTAAGAAAAATTTCAATTAAATTTCACTATCATTTCCAGACACATTTTTTATTAGTCCCGTGTATCTTCCTGTAATGCCTATGATCTCATTTCCTCTCTCTCCATAGGAACCTTTTTAAAGACTCAAAGGCAGTCTGTGCCAAGGCAACGCCTTAATGAAAGTACATTTACAACCAATTTGCTTTCGCCAGAGCTCAGACCGGGTAGTTACCGTATCACATTTCACTATTCAATAGGGACAGTATCTAACAGAAATAATCGTCCGTTTAATGTAACTCTTCGGATGTGTGTAGTAGAAATATCAGTCAAAGGGAACAAAGGTTCACATAGTGAATGCAGCACACATTGGGAAATACAGAAGACGCCGGATTCCATGCGGAAGTTTGGAGGGAAATGGAATCGCGTAGTCTTGAATGTTTCAATCAAGCTTCCTTATAAGGTATTGTCAATGTTGTCTTTGTATAAGTGGGTAATATTTAAATCCGGACGTCCACTCAAATACTGTAGAACACGTTGAAATAGTTGCATGCAATTTTAGCGGATTTGACTCTTGGCATGAATTAACAGAAGCTTAATTTAGCTAAAGTGTCGACTATCTCCCTGTGAGAATAGACTTTCTGTTAAATTAGCTTCATCCTTGAATTAGCGAAATTACAGATTAGCTAAAATAGCTAAAATGTAATGCTAGCTGAGCCAGCTATGCCGAAATTGAGTAGGCGCGTAAAGTAGTAAGATTTCACGCAATCCACATGCTTACACCGTAGACAAGAATTGCATCCAGATCGGAGGTTTAATTCAGGTTTGTACAGATACAATTTCTGGAAATTAATACGTTGAGTTTGACACATTAGCAGCGCAGCCATTACTTTTTACCCCATGGCAAGTCCCGTAGTTGTGTTTAATTCACACTCTACGACGTAGTGGGGTCCAGGGATATGCTAATGTGAGGGTGTATGAATATAAATTAAAGGGCGATGGTTGTCGCGCCGAGCATGTGCGACATTTGTGTTGATAAACATTTTCTCCCCACAATCCAATGCGCGTTTCTAACGAAATCAAGAGTACGAGTATTGCCCTAAGCGCCACTTGTACTAATTACCGCCGACTCCTCCTCCTCCCAGTTTGTACTAGTCGGTGTGCAACACAGACAAAATCGCCATCTTTGTTTATATGAGACCCATATCTCGCGCATACGCGGCGCGACGACTACCGCCCTTTAATTAACAGTCCGTCCACGTGGCTAAGTATAATGAGGTAATGGTTCCAATTCCCCACTATGTACTCATAACAAGCTGTTTGATGCACTGTATTGTCATCCAAATATATAATCGAATGAGTATCTGTTGAGTTCAATAGGCGACAGATGCAAATGGTCGCCGAAATCTCGTTAGAAGCGAGAGGACCACGAGACTTAATCTTCTCGTTCAACGTATCCCATTCACTCCCGTCATCGTGTTCACAGTTCCTCTAATCTATGTAATCATGATATTTAGAACAGTTGACGCGATGACAAGAGAATGCGGAGCATGCGCACAACTTGAAGGGACTTTCTCGCTCCCAACGAGATCCCAGCGTCCATTTACATCTAAGTTCTATTGACTGACTAACCGAATACGTCGTGAATTCAGTCGATTATAAACTGTAAACATATTTCATTTGTTATTGGGTTGTTCTCTCTCTTTTTTTAGATTGTTTTTGAAGCAAGTCGGAAAGGTTTTGATCTTCAAATGGCCATGGATTTTGCACTGGACGACATATCTATTGTGCCTACAAATGACACATAGTGCCAAAATGTAACACCGTAAAACAAGAACTTTTTATACCATCGTTTATCGTCGTCATCGAATACACCGAACATATCTCACAGTTGTATGTGCCTTCCACATTGTGTTTTAAGGTATGACTGTTATGAACAGCTGCCGAGGATAAGAAATATTCGCCTTGTGCCGCTTGAAAGAACACAGTACTCAGGCTCACAGGTTACTCTGTCAGTTCATTATTTGATCTCGTATGCACCCCAGCATATCACAGCAGCCAGCCAAAACAATACAAACGTTTCTCAGTGATCATATATGATTTATTCCATTCTGTCGTTCCGTCTCCTGTCATGCTAGCATTTTACGTGCTTTATTCGTTTTTTTTGGCTCAAATAATCAATATTTAGGAATTCAATTCAGCGATTCACAGAATAATCCATAGAACCGTGACGATAAACATGTCGAAACAATTATAAATCTTGCCTTATCATTATAGACCTCACTGTACAACAGAATTCTTGATAAAAATGCTTCAATCATAGAAGCTGAACATCGCCTTCAACTTAATTCTTGGTTCAACTCTACAATCAAGAAAAAACATGCCTGTTAGTGATTGGTTCAGAAAGAAACGTGTCATCGTTCTGTTCTTCATGTTTATTGGTTCGACTTTGTGAACATTTGCAACACTGTTAAAAATGATATTCCTCACAAACAGTCTCAATTCAACAGAAATCAACAATGTCAATCTTGGGAAAATGTACAAGGTTCGACAATTGTTTAACAAAGTCCATATTACTATAGCTGCTTTAGGTGATCCGTCACCAGTAACGTAACTTCACTAATATAGGTAATACTGTTTTTCAGGAACTACATACATATTCCACCTATTGGACCCCTGAAAAAATTTTCAACTTACGGCGTTCACTGATGTCTTAACCAGGCCTTATCTGTGTTATCCTCACTGTCTTCTCACAAATCATATTCTGCTATCAGTGGACACGCAATTAAACTGTTCCGTCCATCGCCCCATCGAAACAACCTGCTGTCGTTACTCCAATCTTCAAACAAGGCAAAACTGACAAACAAAGTTTTACTAACTATCGTTCAATATCCCACCCCCTCAATTTTGTCAAAAGTACTGGAAAAAAATGGCTGCTTCAGATTAGATCCGCGCACTGCAGGCAGACGTCATCTCCTATCTTGTATTTCGAGCTTTCCATTGGACGAGCGGTCGTCACGTGGAGTTTGACAATTCAATGTCTTACTCTCAAATTACTCTGCACCTTATGTGGCTATTCATACCCATGGCTCCGGAAGCACATGTACTACTTTATTCACAAAAATGATTAATTTTGTCATGGAACGACGAATATTGTGTTCATGTTTATTTTATTTAAGACATTCGAGATGACGCGACGTGACAAAGAGGTGACAATGTTTGTCTTCCTTTGTGACAATTATTCACCTCGGCTACTAAGTGAACAATAGACTTAATTTGCGAATTACCGCCAAGATATCGCGAGATCTCGTTAAGAGAAAAATTGACACGATGATTCGGGTCAATCATACAGCAATATTATTCGTATCCAACTCTCACAAAGCGGCTTAGATTCCCAGTAACATACATGTGGCGATATTTAAATTTAGTATGAGAATTGTGTTATTGCCCGTAGTAAAATAGTACAAGTATATCATTTTCTCCTGTCATGTGTCAATATATCTGAATGCAAAGCCAGTATAAAAATTAAAGTACATACGAAGTCAACAAATACTACAAGACATTCCATATTTTCAGTAATTAAAAGAAGGACACCTTGATACTATCAAACGCTCGGCGTATGAATGAATGAATGAATGAATGAATGAATGAATGAATGAATTTGATAGAATTCCCAAAAAGAGAATTTGAATTTTCAAAGCAAAGAATGCTACCACAAATGGAATAATTGTACAGATATCGTGACAAGGCTGTCCCATACTTTACGCGCCCTTTTGCGGCAGAGAGATGCCTTGGCGTAGATTGGGTAAAACTGAAAACGTTAACTGTCTCCGACGGAACTTTGGACGTAAGACTGAATAGTACATGCGAAATGTATTTTAGCCGGCTTCGGGTTTCTAACAATGTTAAAAATGAAAATCACAAACTGTTCACAACCATGAAACTATTACGAACTATCCAAGTCGTATTAATGCAATTAGAAAAATATCACAAAATGTCGGATTATTTTACGGATCTTCAGGAAATAACTAATATATAACTAATGAATATTGGCGCACAGGAACAACCGATCGAGCAACTGCCAACGCAACACTGGACGCTGCTTTCTACTGTTGATTTCTCTCATTAATATTCATGAATCTATATTGAGCTTGTCGTATGTAGAGCATGTTTATTTTTTCTGAGCATGCGCAGTAGATTCAAGTTGAATGCAGACGTTTTGAACAAGCTGTAATTAACAATTTTAGCCGTCGAATTTTTAGTTAAGTTTCGACTTTTTAAATTTAAAATCGCATCCATGCTATTGCTGATGTAATTATTGTATTTTCTTTTCTGAAATATCTGCTATTTTTTTCTGTGTGGAAACTGTTTTCACTTGTATTTCTATGCACGGGGTTAGATTGTACTGGCAAGTATCCAGTCCAAACTCACTGAATATTTGCACAATGTGAAACACGTGTGTAGTAGTGACACACTACTTAAACTTGTTGCGCACAATCCGTTGGTAGAGATGGAAACACAGCATGCAAATACACTATGAATGCATTAAACCTTCATTAACATTTACTTACCTTGTATGTATATTTTTTGAACATATCCACTGGGTTATTTAATTCATGAATGATTCTGTAAAACAACGAGTCCGGTTTACTTGTAGAGGATTTTGCTAATAAAATTCAGTGAACAGGTAATATTGAATTATTCATTTTAATTTGAGTGTTGGTAGGCATATTTATTTACTGGCTTCGTCGTATCTATTTTGTACGACAACAGTGTATTTACAACAACAACAACAACAAGATGCTTATGGAATGTGTTGGCCAAATTAGAGTATATTTACCGTGTTCTCGCTGAAAACAAGTTCACATTGTCGCTTTTTACAACACTGAATACGCACAATAGAAGCGACCCACAGATAATTATGTTTCGGTTATCGTATATTTCTTTCAGAGGTTGTGATCCCCTATTTTGAAATTACTTATACGTATTTTTATCGCAAGCGCGATGGGGTGGGGTGGATAATCGGACGGGAATCAACGTATTTTGACATGAATACAATTATAAATGCCTAGTTACACAGTATATACAAAACATGGATCGACATAATATTAACATTATAAATTCAACTGTATGATTCCCGTGTGATTATTTTTACTACAGCACAGTCGGTTAATAAATTATGTTTACCGACAAAACAAAGTTTTACGTTCGCTTGAATATTTTCATGAGAATTCTTTTTATTTTTTAGTTTGGAAGCTTATTTTGATTTAGTATTACTTGTAATCTGTATGCGTTACATTTGGCATGTATATTCACCGATACTGGAGTTCTTTCTGTCTTGGCTGTACAATAAATGGAGTAGAAATCTACAGTTAATTTTGTTTTCGCGATTGGGTATGTTTTTCTGTAAGGTTTAATCTTGAATTAATGTGTTTTTTAAATACTAGGGACAGACTTACAATATATTAAATGCGGAAGTTCTTTTTATAGTGGAGTTGGGTTTATTCTCTTGTACATTTCGAACCACCAGCATGATTGAGCTAGTTGTACTCCCTTAGGCCAGGAGAACAGGGAAACCAGCAAAGCACAATGTATATCTCATTTTGAAAGCCCCCTAACACACTTATTATTATTACACTCAATTACATTGAATTATCATGATGATACAATACACATATTGCAAATAAATTTAAAATTAGAACGCATTGAATATGCATTATATTGCTGGTACCCCTTTTCAGGTCTCGTGCCACTATTCAACCACTTAAATGCCTTGCAAGAAGCAATGACATTTTTAAAATATTTTTGTTCTCAGGTGCTCCCTGTTTGAGGGCATGCATCACCTGGGTCAAAGCTGAGATTAACATGTAATCTTTTGTTTATGACTTAGCGGTTGTGTGCCTGGTTTATTCTGCGCGTATTTGGATGTTCTAATCTTGGGTTTTTTTCCAGTGATTTCTCTAGGTGCAATCCAAATACAGTAGGTGTGTCTTGTTTACCTGAGATTTGCAAAAGTTTGAGCTGGCCAACATGTTTATTTCCCATTTTTGAGCCATGTTTTCAAATTTGTTTATCATTTTCATATAGCAATCTCGTCATATGTTAACATTGTCGTCTATGGAGTTTTAATTAGTGGTATGATACCTTCAAGGGTGTCATATTCAAGCCATTTACGCCGGCGTAACCCTTTCACATCTGTTTTTTTTTCTTACACATGGCGCGTACTAAGACACATACACAAGCAACACCCAATTTGAACACGCTACTAACTGATTACAGTGGATATATGGGTTTGCGTTTAAAGATTATAACAGTATATATATTAATTTCAGACAAGATATATTGAATTGGTAAAAAGTAATGTTGTATTTGGGGAAATTATTGCGCACAGTGTCAACTATACTAACTCGAAAAATGTAGCGCTAACGCTAGCAGGGTACTATTCACCTTGCAACAATATTCAGGTTGAATAACACTGAACACCACGTATATCAATAATTGTTCATGGTTGGATACATTTTTATATACACTACTAACATAAGTAAATTGCTATAAAGAAGATTTCACATTTTGTGATTCCAGATTTGAAAGTTGCTAAATGATCGGTGGTTGTTATGTATGTTGCCATATCAGCGTTTTCCTACTACTTTTCTAGGTAATCATTAACGCTATTTTATAACATGTGCTCCGATTGATTACATGCAAATCGTCATCATCGCTTCTTTTACAATCACCGTTACCTTCAAAAGTAGCAAAATACACATAAATAACCATGAATTTGCTGTTGGTTGAAGTACAAGATACGATT